TTAGCTCCACTGAAATTGACCATCTTGTCGACAGCTCTGCAAACTCATTACGACTAATGACTCCATAGTGCCTCTAAAAAAGAAGCATGTAAAACACAGTAAATTAGCTCCCTTGTATAATTCCAACACACATGAATTAAAACAAACATCAAGTACTGGCAAGTACTCAAGTCTGTTGCAGGGCTGACATGGAGGGTCACGCAACCACCAGCACCTCTCACCTTTGGAGCCATGGGTCCTACTACTGTGCATATTGCACATTATTTCCTTTTGTTCCCCTGTATAACTTGTTCTTTCTCCATCACCTCACCTCAACCGGTCCTGGCAGAGGCCGTCCACACCGAGCCCAGTTCTGCCGGAGGTTTCTTCCACCTGGGAGTTTTTCCTTCCCACTGTTGCTCATGCTTGCTCGGTGTGGAACAAGTTGGATTTTGTGTTTCTTAAGATCTTGGACTTTTGTGCAGCACCCTGAGACAACTGTTTGTTGTGATATCGTGGTATATAAATACATTTGATTGATTGATTGATTGATTGATTTGAATAATTCCTCATTTGATTTACCTTCCATCATGCTACAAATTATTTACTCTAACCAATGCTGTCATTACTCTTATTTCTCTCACATTCTCCATTACATGCGGCATCTATTGCACTTCTGTCCATCCTGGGAGAGGGATCCCTCACATGTGGCTCTCTCTGTGGTTTCTACATTATTTCTTTCCTGTTAAAAGTTCTTTTGGTAGTTTTTCCTTCCTCTTGTTGAGGGTTAAGAGCAGAGGATGTCACAGCTTGTGACACAAATTGTGATTTGTGAAAATGGGCTATACAAATAAAATGTGATTGATTGAAATCTTGATATAGTACTCACAAAAATGGGACATATAAATGGAAACCAGAAAACAATAATTTTCACCAGTAACTTCTTCAACATTTTCTTAATTTTATTCAGATTCATGAATTGGTCATAAACTGCAGAATTATTCGCATCTGTGTTCTTATGTTGATGAATGCCATGTCTTCTTTAATTGAAAGCAGTTTTTCCTAATTAGCATAGGTAAACACCTCACCAATACCCAAAAAAGCACACTATACAGTCTATGGTGCACAAACAGAAAAACTGAAAAGAACATTAAAGAAGGCAGGAAAAATTGAACAAAAATCTAAGAACAGCACCACACCGGACCCAAAGCGTAAAACTTCATATTTTGTTATGTCAGTAGTGGACATAAAATAACAAAAAAAAAACAATACATGGGATACAGTTAGTTTGTTCATGTGTTTAAAAAGTGTTCAAATATTCTGTGTGTGTTCTCTTCAACATCATGCATTTAAAAAAAAATGTATATGCACTGAAAAATAAAATACTATGGTAATTTCAATCTTACTGTACAACTGTAGAATTAAAAGTAAAGAACACAATAACTGATTATTATGCACAAGCATTTCAGTTGACAAGTGTGCTCTTCAGTGTGCGTAGATTTTATTCTTACATAAGAACAAATCGCAGATAGGAAAAAAATGGTAATTTCATTTTAAGAACGATTAGGGAATGAGGCAAGGCATGATAATCGTTGACTGCACACATACAAAATATGGTTTGGTTTGTATTTATATAGTGCTTTTCTAGTCTTGATGACCACTCAAAGTGCTTTACAATACTGTTTGCCATTCATCCATTCACACATTCATACGGTGTGTATGAATCCATATTAGCAGCACTTTTTTGTTCAATGAGTGGAAATTTGGGGTTTAGCATCTTGCCCAAGAACACATGGGCATGCAGATGGGGAAGACTGGGGATTGAACTGCTGATCTTCTGGTTGGAGGATGACTGCTCCACCCCTCAGCCACAGCCGCCAAGAGGTGATATTCAAAGGTAATCCACTGTGGGATTTGACAAGTCTGTAAAAAACATGTCCTGGGTCTTTGTAGAGGAATCATGGGGTAAGTTCCAATCCAAACTTTACCGGTCAGGCTCTTCAGTGTGCAAGGTTTTGGGCGACTTGAACAGCTATACTGCAAAGCCCTGAAAGGCCTACCTAGAATTGCTACTAAACCAGCAAAGGCAAAACAAGTAGCACCTGGTGGAGAGGCAGATCACAGCCCAGGACACTCATCTATTTTACCATAGAAGCTGTATACTTAACAATGCTAGACACTTGTTAATGTAGGCAGAAATACTCAGAGTCTGCTACTAGAGACAAGCTGAACACAAAACAATACTCGCAAATAATCTGCCACCAAATCCTTTAAGTTTTCTAGGATTGGTTTACTCTTCTTGCTATCAAGCTATACGTTACATTTACTCATTTTCATTAAGGAGACACTTTTTTCCAAAACTTAAAACTGGGGGAACACACTAAAACACACTAATTCATCATATTTCTAAGCTACACAAAATAAATGAGTGCAATAATTCCTATCTGATCATACCTCCCCATAACTGCTGCTAAATCATGACTGCACATGTTTATATTCACCTTAGCACCTTATGTTTTATTGTAATGTTTATTGGCACCTTTTAATGTTTATTTTTTGCACTAGTTAATGACATTGTACTTTCTTGTTTATTTGCACTAGTGTATTGGTATTTTTAGTTACTCTTATATTATTATCTTCTGACACTATTACATGTTGAGTTGCTTGAGGTGCCTGGGATTTAAGATTTTCATTGCCAACATGTACGCTGTATCTGTTGTGCAGATGACAAATAAAACCTTTGAAACCTTTGAAAACCTCAGTACATTAGACAAGCTTGAAGTAAGTACTTAGTCCTATATCTGTGACAATAAGAACAGTTGTGAAGAGTGAGTCCTACTTACGCAGGTTGTGTAATAATCCAGTTGCTTGAACTA